GACACTTACATGCCCTCTCACATGTAATCCTCAACAGCCCAAGGAGGCAGCCCTTTTCTCTCCATCTCCAGCTCACAGATGGGGAAACCAAGGCACACAAAGCTTAAATCACTTGCCCCATGCCCATCATCACCCCACTGCCCCTTTCAAACTCAACTGGACTTGACTGACCTCTGACTTGGGGAAATGGTCTCCCTTTCCTAGTTCCTCTATCTTTCTGGAAAACATCCATTCATTCATCCATTCATTCCACAATTAAATGTCTACGGCTGGTATGAGTCAAGGCTGTGATGAACAAGGGCTTTCCTCTTTCTTGCCTTCCATCCATGACCGCACAATACACCATTGCCAACATCCAGACATAACTCCTGGGAGTTATGTCAAAGCTGCGATCCCATCCACCTGGCGGAGCCCTGACATTTGGGTCAGTGCTCCTTGCCAGGGGTCTCAGGCCTACAAAGGCACCATGGATGTGAGTGGGTGCCAGATGCCTACTCCCCTTCTCCACCCCTCCTCCCCCCACCATTGTCCTGGGAGCACTGAGAGCAGGAATGAGTGCTCAGAGTCTGGAAGCAAAGAAAAGACCCAGAAGAGTCTGGGGAAGCTCATCTGAAAGGCAGGCTCTCAGGGGGCCTCCCCCCTTCCCTCCTAAAAATAATATTCTATAGAGCAGGAGGGTCAGGAGGGGGTTGAAAGGTCACCTGGTCTTCCAGCTGGAAATGTCACCAATTAGATTTATTTGGGTCACAACATTATTTCTTTATCGAGCAAAGTAGGGCAGGTTGGAAGAGTGGAAAGAACACACGTTTTGGTGTAAGACACACGGGTTGCACCGCGAGCTTCTCAGCTGCCTGGCTCAGCGTCAGAGAAACTAGCAAACCTCTCTCAGTCTTGGGTTTCTCATCTATGAAACGGGGATAACGATGCCTACCAAGCAGGGCCACTGGGAGTAAACATTATACAGTGTTTGTGAAGGAGTCAGTCCAAATGGCTGGTACACCAGAGGTGCTTTATAAAGGCGGCTGTGAGTGCCGGGGCTGCCGCACTGGGAGTGCGGGCGAGAGAACTGCTGGCAAGCCGGTCCTGGGGGATTGAGACCCAGCCTAAGAGCCCAGGCTCCATGCCGCCACTGCTCCTGTCTTAAGCCTCCCTCCTTGAGGCCCCCAACTGGGCCCTCCCTTTCCCAGAAGCCCTTAGGGGTTCACCATGGCTTCAGTGCTGCCAGGCCCCCCATATCACAGGGAAGTCTTCCTTCATCTGAGTGCAGACCTTAAGCCCCTTGAAAAACAGGCTTCTCCGGGAACACGTGGAACATTCTCCTAACTAAGCCGGAGCAGGGAGGCAGCAGGACAGTGGCTCAGGCAGAAGCCCGAAGCCATGGGGGCCCTTCTCTCTCACACCCTGCAGGAGCAGTGGCTCTACTTCTGAAGACTTCCAGGATCTGAGCACTTCCTCCCTCCACTGCCGCCTCCCGGGCTTGAGCCCCTGTCCCTCCATCCCCGGGGTCTGCTACAGCTTCCTGACCAACTCCCCCTCCTTTAGCGCTTGGTGCATGCGGTTCTTCTCAAGCTAGACTGACCCTGAGACAATGGAATTCAGAGACCCTTTTCGTGAAGATGGAACGGAAAGGGAAGAGGAAAGCTCCTGCTCCTCCTAAAGCTGAAGCTAAAGCAAAGGCGTTGAAGGCCAAGAAGGAATGATGTCCACAGCCACAATGAAGAAGATCCACATGTCACCAACTCCGTGTGCAAGGGAGGCCTCCCTCCCACCACACTCCCTTCCCCGCATCCTCGCACCCGCAGCGGGGCTCCCAGCTCGCCTCACCACCTGTCAGCCCCCCACTAGAAGACACGACTTGATCTTTCTGGTCCCTGCCATACCCATGGCAGTGCCTTGCACGTTAGGGACCCCAAATGAGGACTTGTGAGAATCAGTGAGTGGGTAGGTAACTGCTCCTGAGTGCCCACCCCCTCCTGCTGGATGCCTTCTAGTCCTCACAGCAGCCCCAGGCGGAGGTTAGGAAACTTGCCAGCGGGCCAAAGTCTGTCAGTGGTGCAGCTGGATCCGGGGGTCCCCAGGCTCCTTGGCTTCACTCGGCACCTGGAGACGCCGTGGGGAGGAGCCTCACGGATTCCATAAGGCGTGGGTCGGGTCGTGCGCTCAGATCTGGTGAGAGACAGAGAAGCACACGGATACATTACACAGCGGTGCCCGGCAAATAACTGCGGCCACTAAATACGGATTTGTGGTTGGAAGGGTTAGGAGCCCCAACAGCAGTACGCAGACATTTCTGTGCGGCCAAAAGGAGGCGCCTGTGCCTGACACCCGATGAGGAAGGTGCTGGAAAAGACTTGCGGAGGCAACACTTGAGGTGGACCTTCACGGGTAGGAGTTTGCTGGGAGCCGAAGGGCCCGGGGAGCAGGAGGCGCACGGAGGGGTGACAAGAAGGCGATCTGAGAAAATGGACTCGAGGAGCTTTGAAAGCCACGACAGAGAATATTAGCAGTGTCAGAATTCCCCAGGTGTCCCCACGGCCCCAGCCCGAGATCAGCAGTCGGTGCGGGGGTCTGAGCTGAACCCCCTGACGGGCTACGGGGCTAGCGGCGGGTGGGAGCCGACCCGCCGCAGCCTGGTCGCAGGCGCGCGAGGCCGACCCAGGTCCCAGTCCTCCGCCCACTCCCGCGCGTGGCGCGTTCGTCTCCGGGTGGGCGGGGCCCTAACAGAACAGCCTCTGCAGACCGGTCTCTAGCGGACGTCACGCGCGGAGGCGGGGCCGAGCCCGCCTGAGGGGGCGTGGCCCGACGAGGCTCCTGGCCCCGCCCCGAGAGAGGCCTAGCACTTGAAGAACGGAAGTCCTTCCGCCTCCGTCCGCCCCCACGTTCCCTTCAGTCCCTCCCCTCAGCTCCGTGCGCAAGGTCGTGTCCCGGAAGTGAAGGGGCCATGTTGGTGGGTGACCCCGGGAAAGGTACCGGGCGAGAGGCGAACCCCGAGGAGTGGTAGCGCGCGCAGTCCGCGGGTGAGTGAGGGGAGGAGCGGGCGCCGGGGGCCCGGGGCTCGCCGAGCCTCTGCTCAGGGCCGCGGCTGGCGCCCCCCTCAACCTGGCCAAGCGGGGGTCTCGCCCAGACCGCTCTAGTTCTCCCCTGGGAGGCCTCTCCGGGGCCGCGCCCCAGCCTCCCGGGGTCTCCCCATCCCGCCTCGGCCCGGCCCCCTCCCCAGGGTCGAGGCAGGAACTGGGGACCGACCCGGGCTCAGTCGCCCAATCGCCGATCGACCTTGTCAGTAACACACCTCGCGTGACAAACGCCTCCAACCTCATAAAGCACTTTTCCTGTTGATTTTCTGGATTCATCTCTCCCATTCCGGGAGGCCCTTGGGGGCCGAGGGGAGCTCTTATACCGTTGAGGAAAAAAGGACAGGGACAGTGGCTTGCTCCAGCTCGCTCAGAAAGTTGGTGAGGCCGGACGCTGATGGCTTACTGACTTTGGGCCCAAAGTTCAGACCTTTCTACCAAATACCTGCCCCATTCGATCTCATTTCTTTATTTTTGAAATAGGGGTGATCATTTCTCCCACAGAGAGACTTTGCTGCTTTCAATCAGCTTATTTTTTGAGGCCCTTATCTGTGCCAAGCGCTGTGCTGGGAAAGTTTGTAGAGCACCCGTGTCAGGCGCCGGCAAATGGTAACTATCCTTACAGAGGCAGGCAGAGTTGGGGTCGGGAATGCAGCCCCCCTTTCCAGCTCTGTGCCTGTGGGCCACTTACTCCCCTGTGGGAGCTTCAGTTTCCGCCACTTACAATGGGGATAAGGACACTGGGATCGTTGACAGAAAGAGATGCGTTCTGCGGGATGTGCTGTGGTGTATAGTAGACACTCAGTGTCTGCGGGACGTGTGTTAAGACACTCAGTTAAGGGTTCCCAGTCATCGTTAGGACCCCTGACCACCTCTTGGATTCCTTAATTTAAATGTGGCAATGGATGACAAAGCATTTTATAAATGACACGCAGTACTTGTGTAAAGGTTCACTGTTACCAAAGGAAATGGTGGCGGTTTCTGCAAAACTAAATCTAATATTTATGGAGCACCTACAGACCAGGCTAGGTGCCGCTAGTAATAGCTGTCCTTGGTAGAGTGCTTCTTTGTATGTGCCAAGCACTATTCTAAACACATTTACGTACATTGACTCACGGGATCCTCATACCCACCACACGGGCAGAATACGGTCTTGAGCCTCATTTTACAAATGGAGAACTGAGGTTGGTACAAGAGAGGTTAAGAAACTTAACCAAGGTCATCATCGCATCAGTGGTGGTGCCAGGATTCAAGTGTGTCTGAGAGTCCTTGCCTTCACCCCCTCCTAGACCAGCCTTCATAGTGGAGTTTATTATAGATGCTTTATGTGCATTAATTCATGCAGTTCTCAAAATAGCCCCATGTGGCAGGTGCTCTTTAACACGTAATATCATCTTCATTTTGTTGCTGAAGAAGCCGATGCGCAGAAGGGTTACGTACGTTGCCCAGAGGCATGTGCCCGGCAAATGGCAGAGCCAGGATTCAAGCCCTGGCCCTTCAGCATAACCTGTCCTTTCCCAGAAGAGGGGATCGAGAGGCTGGGGTCTACTCCTAGCCCTGCCACTAAGTCATAGCATGACCTTGGGGTCTCTGAGACCCAGATTCAGAACTCCTGAATTTTAGATAGTCTGTATAGACCCTTCTATTATTCATTCTGATTCCAGGCTTCTGTTTTGTCCCTTCTGCTTATAGCTTGACGCGCAGCCCCTGCCAGTCCCCCATGGCCCCATGGAGCCGAGAGGCGGTGCTCAGTCTGTACCGGGCCCTGCTGCGCCAGGGCCGAGGGCTTCGCTACACTGATCGAGACTTCTACTTGGCCTACATCCGCCGCGAGTTCCGGAAAAATCAGAAGCTAGAGGATCCTGAGGCCCGGGAGAGGCAGCTGGAGAAGGGCTTGGTCTTCCTCCACAGCAAGTTGGGGGGGATTATTTAGGATCCCCTCCTTTCCCCTCTCCTCCTAATTCCAAGGGAAAGAGTTCAAAGGTGTCTTCCATAGACACTCCTCTTTCCCATCCCTACCTCACAGATGCAGTAAGAAGCCTCAGGTAGGTAGACACTTAATCCTACAAGCTTTGTCTTTCTTTCTTTTGTTTCTGTTTTTGTTTTGTTTTGTTTTTGATGCAGGGGACCAGGAGAGGGGGCGCTTTCTTTTCAGTGACCATAGTGCTTTATTAGTAATCAACAGGGGCGCCTGGGTGGCTCAGTCGGTTAAGCCATTAAGCGTCCGACTTTGGCTCAGGTCATGATCTCACGGTTCATGGGTTTGAGCCCTGCGTCGGGCTGTGTGCTGAGAGCCAGCTCAGAGCCTAGAGCCTGCTTCAGATTCTGTGTCTCCCTCTCTCTCCAACCCTCCCTGTTCACCCCCCCTCTCTCTTTCTCAGAAATAAATAAAACATTAAAAAAAAAAAAGAAATCAACAGAGGAATTATAGACATTAATAGAGGTAGGTTTCCCTATTGAGAAAAAGCAGGCCTTGCATTTCCAGCCCCGCCAGAATAAAATTATCACCACTTTATTTCCTGGAATATTTTACATATGAAAATGTTATAGAAGGTACTGGTTAAAAGTATTAGAGCTCAGTTCCAGGCTGGCTCATTCTCAGGGGATTCAGTTACCTTATGAGTCCGATCACATTCCCCAAACATGACTGTATTCTGTTACAACACAGTTTATAAAGCAGGCATAGTGTGCAGACTTCAAGGGACCATGTCTGCATTCAAATCCCAGTGCTAATAGCTGTGGGATTTAGGGTAAATCAGTAGCCTTTCCCAAGCCTCTCTTTCCTCATTTGTAAAATGGAGAGAACAGTACCTACTTTGTCCGGTTATTTTGAGAATTCAGTGAGACCGTGCACACACGGCACTTGGAATGCTGCTCAGTAGGTGGTGTGTTAGCTCTGTTGACTCCTGATTCCGGTGTTAACAAGAAGTCCCTCTATAACCTATGACTATATTTAGTTCAGCAACTTTTCCAGAGGGCCTTCTATGGCCCTGGCATAATCTGGCAGGCTCTGGGGTAAAGATGAAGGATACGGTCCATCAAGGGACTCGGCCTAATGTGGAGATGAACAGAAAGTAATTCCAGTGGGAGCAGCTCCGTCCTAGAGGGTCCTGTAAAGAGCCTGGAGTTGGAGAGGAGGACATAATTCTGCCTGTTTAGGGCGGTGATGGGGGATCATAGGTGGCTGTAGAAAAGGGGACGTTTGAGGTCAGTGAGGAATAGAAGCTTCTATGCAGATGGACAAGAATGAGCAAATATGGCAGTGGGAACGGTAGTCTGGAAACTCGAGTCCGCTGTGGCGAGAACGGCCCGTAAGGCACCTGGCGGGAGTTGAGACCCGGCCAAGTCTGCGAGGATACCGACTCCCTGGTGAAGAGATTGTGACGTCTGATAGGAGGGGGCCCGCCACGGCCCTGGAAAGCAGGGCAATGGCACAGAAGAGGGATCGTGGCAGTGGCCATGACTGCGCTTGCGTACCCTGTGGCAGCAGTGGGGCTTGGTGACGAGTTGGCTGAGGCTGGAGGTGGGGAGAGAAAAAACCAGGGATAACCACCAGGTTGTGAGGCCTGCCAGCTGGGGAGCGTGCTGTTTGGGGTGGAGAGGGAGTGTGGGTGGGGGGAGCGGGGAGCCTTACGTAAGGGCTTTTGGTTCTCCTCGGCCACTTAGGTTGACTGGCAGACTCGCCTTGAGCAGGGCAGGGCCAGGGGAGGGGTGATGCCCATGGGAGCCTGCCTGCACAGGGAGGGGTGGTGGGTCGGCAGAGAAGGCGTGAGTTACCGAGTCTTCGCGTCCTTCATCCGTTTTGATTGTCAGTTGGGCTACAAATTGCCATCGCCGCCTCCTCTGAAAACCAGAAATCACCCCATGGGGTTAATAGCTCGTTTGTGCAACAGATACATTCTGTGGGTCAAACAGTGCCGGCCCCGGGGACATGGCAGGTAGCGTGCCAAAATGCCTCCCAAGAAGTTTAAGGTCTCCTGGTTAATAGATGTGACCAAGGCAGGAGTGGAGGCCACTTAGGACTCCCTTAAACTACTGCCCAGCAGAGCCCTGGGTTCCAGTCTTGGCTGCACGGCTTACGGACACGATAACCTTGGGCCAGTTACTTAGCCTCTGGCTCTTCGTCTGTGAGTCGGAGACAACACCATGACCCCGAGGTGGTGGTGTGAGGACTCAGGGATTAGTGTGTGCAACGTGCCCAGCACATGGTGCCCTCGCAGCGCGTGTCAGCTCGTCTCACGCGTGCTCGAGCCAGATGTGTTCAAGGCCTGTGACTTTGTCAAGTAAACTACGTTGGGACTTTCACAGTTCTGTGCCTTCTTCCTCGGAAGAAGCCGTTCTGTGTCATCCTCGCTCCTTTGGGGTAGGGAGTGTGTCTGTTCCTGTTTGTGTATCTGGGGAGACGGGGTAAGTAACTTGCCCGAAACGTCAGCAGCGCCGAGACCCTCCGTCTGCAGCCCTGCCTGCCGCTCCTTCTTCTTCTGTCCTCCTCTTTTTAAAAAACATTGTGACCAGTTTTTATCATACAGTTCAGTAGTATTAAGAATATTCATATTGTTGGGGCACCCGCGTGGCTCAGTTGGTTAAGCGTCTGACTACTTGATCTCAGCTCAGGTCATGATCTCGCATTTCCTGGGATCAAGCCTCCCATCGGGCTCCACACCGACAGTGCGGAGCCTGCTTGGGATTCTGTCTCTCCCTCCCTCTGCCCCTTCCCTGCTCATGTGTGCCCGTTCTCTCTCTCTCTCTCTCTCAAAATAAATAAACTTAAAAAAAAATCACATTGTTGTGTAACAGATCTCCAAAATGTTTTCATCTTGCAGAACTGAAACTCGAAAGCAAGTGTTCACGCTCAGTATTTTTATAGATGGTTTCTCCTCATTACAACCTTCTGATTCGGGCCATGCAGGCATAATTATCCCCTTTTCATAGCTGGGGTGGTGGTTGGTTAAGTACCTTATGGAAGTCACTCAGCCAATAAGTCAGGGCTCAATGGCAAGTAGTCATCCTCAGGGTTTCTGGCTCGAAAACTCAGACTCTTTTCTATTATGCCACATCACTGCCTCGTTCTTACCAGTCATCAGATGGGGCCCGGGCTAAATGGCCCAGGGAGGCTCCTTCTGGCTTTTGCTTAGGTAGAGGACGCCCCCTCTCTGGTCTTACTGCCTCACATTCAAGGAGGTGCCTGCATCCAGTGTGTCTATTGTAAATATATCAGCAAAGGTTCTTTTATTGTTTAAGAGAAATCAAACGGGCGCACGGGTGGCTCAGTCAGCTAAGCGTCCAACTCTTGATCTGGGCTCAAGTCTTGATCTTACGGTTCGTGGGACTGAGATCCACATCAGGCTCTGTGCTGACATCGCGGAGCCTGCTGGGGATTCTCTCTCTCTCCCTCTCTCTCTCTCTCTCTCTGCCCCTCTCCTGCTCTCTCTCTCAAAAAATAAATAAAAATAAAACACTGGTCATTGTTACGTGTGGGGAACACACGTGTGTTCACTTTGTGTGTTCACATGTGTTCACAGGACAAGTTCACTTTGTCCTGATTGAATTACGCGGCCTTGGCGGAGTTTGATCTACTCCGTCTCTCGCAGTGGCCACTGGAGGGAGGCTGAGTAGCCTTCTTTCGCGACCCCACCTGTAATGTATAGTTGAACTCTTCTCCCTGGCCTTGCTTGCTCTGTGCAAGTGGGAATGTATTTCACTTGACCAAGTAAGTCTCCCATTATGGCCCGAAGCCCGAAGCTTCTATTGACCGTGAAGGGTAGAGAAAAGTGCCACCAAAGTTGTGAACTCTAGTCAGGGAAAAATATTTTTGGACTGGACCGTGACTCTTCGTTAATTCAGTTGCTGGAATTAGTTGAGTCAGAAATCTTTCTTTCTTTCTTGGGGGAAGGGGGGAGGATACAGACAAGGGCCAGGAGAGGGTGAAGCCAGCAGTACCTAGTTGCAGCGGAGTTAGAAAGGTTACTTACACTGGAAACTGCACCTGGGCATCCTATCTCTGTCTCCTCCCATTCTGGGGATGTGGGGGCCCTGAATGGTAGGCAGCTGGTTTTCCCTGTGACTCCTGGTGTGCTGGACGCGGGAGGTAGGAGGAAGTGGACTGAGAGCAGCGCTCAGATCTGCACCGCTTTGCCGTCCTTCATCTGCGTCGGGCCCAGGGCTCTTGCTTCAGGGACTCATCTGGGGACCCGGGGAACTTCAGTCATGACGACTTTGTTGTTGCCGGGGAGCAAGTGTGGGCTCCCCTTGCCTGAGCCTCCCTCTGCATGAGAGGCTGCCTCTGCTTTTGAGCCCATGAGCTCATTTTTAGTTCATTTTCCAAGTGCATGTGCGCAGATGAGTGTTTTTTTTTTTTTTCTCCAGTTAGACAAGTCTGCAGCGTCCTTGGGGTTTACACTCAGCGTCAGCCTCCCCTGAGCTGCTTGTGGCCCCCCGCCGCCCTCTCCGCACACTTCCCCCAAGAAGCAAAGCATTTGTCAAGTGGGAGTGCCCGCAGAGAGTTATTTCTCCCTTTGCACCTTGCTCAGGTGTGGACTTGAGGTTTTATCTCTGTGAGCAGTAGTTTGATCCATGATATTTTTTTTTACTTTTTTTTTTTTTGCAGAAAGTAGAATAGGTAAGTTGGCTGTGTGCAGGGTAAACACGACATGGTGGGGAAAACATCAGACTGGGAGCCGGGAGCCGGCCTCCTGCAGATGGCCGTGCCACTCCCTGTCTCTGGGACCTCTGGCGAGTCACCTCCCTGTGTGTGAGGTGGCACCATGGGACTGGATGAGCATCTCCTAACCTAATCGGTCCAGTTAGACCTCCTCAGGTCTCGCCTTACAGGAAGTGGTGGCCAAAGGATCAAAACACAGTCTGCGTTACACTGGTGGGGAGGGGCAGGGAGAGGGTAGACTTACACGGTGTAGGGTACTTTGTGCGAATCCAGGAGAGCATTGATTGACGCCGAGCTAAGGCTTTCTATTTCTATAATCTCAGAAGGGTGGAGAGATGTTTTTCCACGGTCGGTGCCATCCATTCTTCCCCCTTGCGTGCAGATGTGTCCCGGAGCACGCATCGCTCTTGACCCCAGAGCATGCGGTGCTAGAGGCAGGAGGGTTTGAGTTGCCGAATTCCTGGAATAACCCATACTTGTTGCCCACTGGCCTGATTGGAGGGGAGGGAGGAGGGCTGGCTCTCGAGGTCCCAGGTGGTGATGGCTGTGTTCTGCCTTCGTCCTCAGGTGAGAGATGGCAGGCTCTGGTGAGCGCAAAGGCAAGAAGGATGACAATGGCATCGGCACGGCCATTGATTTTGTGCTCTCCAACGCCCGGCTGGTGCTGGGGGTGGGCGGGGCAGCCATGCTGGGCATCGCCACGCTGGCCGTGAAGCGGGTAAGTGGGTGCAGCCAGGGGCGGGAGAGTCCGTGAGGCTGCCTTGAATGAGACTCTGATACCGAGCTGATGGGGGCATAGCCTGGTGATGTGGCAGTGTCAGATGAGCCCATAGGAGGACTCCGCAAATCTACTTCTAGGACTCCCCCCACCCCCCCCGCCCGAGGAAATCGAGGGAGATATGAATAGGTCTATCCCAGTTAGTAAACAATGATAAATAACTGAAATATCCTTCCTTAACTACCCGATTCAAAGTAGCAACACTCGTACCACATACATACTTCCCATTTCCCTTTCCCGCCTTACTTTTCTTAATATTTATCTCTGACCGCATACTGCACATTTAGCTTGTTGATTATGTATTGCCTGTACCCCTCCAGTGCGCTGCGGACCCATGCGGGCAGGGATTGGGTCTCTTCGGTCTACTTCTTTACCCTGGGCACCTAGAACAGTGCCTGGCACATAGCAGCCACTGGGATAGTATCGATTAAATAAATGAATCAGCATTCAACGTTATGGCATGTTCATCAGGTACGATACTGAATCGTCAGAAAAGATACCATAATGTTGACTGCTGGTTTGTTTTCAGTGATAATGGAGAAGTGACAAAAATGATATGTGACAAAAATCCAGTTTCGAAAGTGTACGTAGAGTAGGATCCAATTATATAGATACATCGTTCCCAGAAAGAACTAGACCAAAATACCCACAGCCGTGTCTGGGTTGGGTCCTTATGGTAGCTCTGTTTCTCACTTGCATCATTTAGTATTTTCCTGAGATTTTCTGCACGGGGCACAGTGTTCCCTAATCTAGAGTACAACAAAGTTACTGAAAAATAGTAGTCGAACCCACTAGGGGAAGATTGGTGAGAAGAAGGGAAGTGGAGGCAGGAAGCTTCCTATGGCGGGGCCTCTGCTTTTTCAGATGTACGATAGGGCGATCAGCGCCCCCACCAGCCCCACACGCCTGAGCCACTCGGGGAAGAGGAGCTGGGAAGAACCCAACTGGATGGGCTCACCCCGACTGCTGAATAAAGACATGAAGACAGGCCTGAGCCGCTCCCTGCAGACCCTTCCCACAGATTCCTCGGCCTTCGACGCAGGTGAGGACGAGGCTCTGGCCCCCCTACCCCACCCACCCCGGGACCCCTCTCTGGGCACTCAGTGCTGCTCCCGCTCTCAGCAGACGTTGCTGACACGCGCACTGCATCAGGCGCTGTGCTGGCGCTGCTGTGCCCAGCCCTCCTTCCCGGGCCTGAGGCATCCGTGGACGAAGCGAGCACGGGAAGAGCTCATGTGCCTCTGTGCCTCTCTCTCTTGCCTTGGCAGATACATTCTGCCCACCCCGGCCCAAGCCGTTGGCCAGGAAGGGCCAGGTAGACTTGAAGAAGTCACGACTGCGCATGTCCCTGCAGGAGAAACTTCTTACTTACTACCGGAACCGAGCGGCCATCCCTGCGGGTGAGCAGGCGCGGGCCAAGCAAGCAGCCGTGGACATATGCGCCGAGCTCCGGAGCTTCCTGCGGGCCAAGTTGCCTGACATGCCGCTTCGGGACATGTACCTGAGTGGCAGCCTCTACGATGACCTGCAGGTAACGAGGTGGTTCTCGCAAAGGGTCGGGTCGGGTGCTGACCAGGATGCTTCTCGAGGGGTGCCTGGGGGCTCAGTCAGTTGAGCGTCCAACTTCAGCTCAGGTCATCTCACAGTTCGTGAATTCAAGCCCCTGGTCAGGCTCTGTGCCGACAGCGCGGAGCCTGCTGTGGATCCTCTGTCCCCCTCTCTCTCTGCCCTTCCCCCATTTATGCGTGCGAGGGTGTTCTTCTCTCTCCAAAAAAAAAACAAAACATATATAGTAAAACATTAAAAAAAAAAAGAAGCTATTTCTCAAGGGTGCTATCGGCCCAGAAGACCGGTGTCCCAGGCGTGCCGGGAAGACTGTGGTCTCAGGTCTTACCGCTTCTGAATTCTACCCGCTGCGGTCTCCCCCGTCATATCTTCCTTAAACTCTTCCTTGGTTCCCCCCCCTCCTTTTTCTGACAGACCTGGGTTCAAATCCTCACTCTCGCTCTGAACGAATTCGGAGTTTCCCATACTGATGGGGGAATGCAGGCTGGTGGGACCGGTGTCGGGGGAAGCTTGTCTCTTGAGCAGATTAAATCCCTCGACACGTTTTTACTTCTGCTCCAACAGGTGGTGACAGCTGACCACATCCAGCTCATCGTGCCCCTGGTGCTGGAGCAGAACCTGTGGTCGTGTGTCCCTGGCGAGGACACCATCATGAACGTCCCTGGCTTCTACCTGGTTCGCCGGGAGAACCCAGAATATTTTCCTCGTGGAAGCAGTTACTGGGACCGCTGTGTCGTAGGGGGCTACCTTTCCCCCAAGACAGTGGCAGACACGTTCGAGAAGGTGGTGGCTGGCTCCATCAACTGGCCAGCCATAGGGTCCCTCCTGGACTATGTGATCCGGCCCGCACCACCCCCAGGAGCCCTGACTTTGGAAGTGCAGTATGAGCGGGACAAGCATCTCGTCATTGACTTCCTGCCGTCAGTGACCCTCGGCGACACCGTCTTGGTAGCCAGACCGCACCGGCTGGCGCAGTATGACAACCTGTGGCGGCTGAGCCTGCGGCCCGCGGAGACGGCACGCCTGCGGGCTTTGGACCAGGCCGACTCGGGCTGCCGATCTCTGTGCCTCAAGATCCTCAAGGCCATATGCAAGTCCACTCCGGCTCTGGGCCACCTCACTGCCAGCCAGCTCACCAACGTCATCCTCCACCTGGCCCACGAGGAGGCTGACTGGTCTCCGGACATGTTGGCCGACCGCTTCTTGCAGGCCTTGAGGGGACTCATCAGCTACTTAGAGGCCGGAGTCCTGCCCAGTGCCCTGAACCCCAAGGTGAACTTGTTCGCAGAGCTCACTCCTGAAGAAATAGATGAATTGGGATATACTCTCTATTGCTCATTGTCCGAGCCGGAGGTGCTGCTGCACACGTAGGGCAGGTGAAGGCCAAAGTGGACGTCAGGGGTCAGACCCTGGCTTCTCCGTTAGAAACACGTGGCTGCAGAGCGGTGCCTCCCGGGGCCCCTGGGTGCCTCCCGTCTTGTCGGTCATCGCCCCGGTCACCTCATGCTGATTAGAATGCCATCTCTGCCTCCTCTTCCTCACCCTCCCTCACCTTTCTATTTTTGTTACCAAACACTGTGCTCCTCCTCCTCCCTGCCCCCTTGCTCCAGGCCGACTTTTCTGGAATGAATTGAGAAGGTGAAGCACCTGCCTGACCTGAGCTGCTGTTTCGCAATTCGGCCCAGGTTTTCTGCTCCCGTCTGCCCTTTGGCGGCCCGTTTCTTCCCAGGTCTCCTCTGTCATTTCCTCTTGTTCACGCCTTCTGTCTTGCCTTCTTCCCCTGGAGCATATCTGCCCAGTCAAGGTGTTGCCTTTGCGTTGAATGTCACTGAAGAGTTCTGATCGCACGTACCCGAGCTGAGCTCTGCGGAGTGAGCGCTCAGACAGTATTTAGAGTTTCTGGGGCTAAAGCTGGTGGAAGAGCTGGCCCTCGGGCCGGGTTCCTGGAGAAGCAGCCCATGCCCCCCACTTCCGGACCAGCTCAGATTCCCAAGTGCTGAGAAGGTCCCTCCTGGGGCCACTGTTAGGGACCCACGCAGGAGTGAGGCTCAGGATAAACTGGCTGCAAAGGTGCCTGGAGATTGTGGGTTTTAGTGGCCATCTGTGAGAGCGCGGTGGGCGAGTTGGGGGTGGTGAGGAGGGCCTGGGGAGGGCGTGTGTCCCTGATGTCTACACCTCCCCCTTGGCTGGTCTGGATCAGCGTGCTGCGTGAGCAGCCAGAGGAGGCTGAGGGAGGGAAGGGGCTGCCGGGGCGCCACCCCCTGCACCAGCGCGGCAGTTCAGCCCCTTCCTTGCCTTCTTGCCAATTAGGACAAGGCCTTCAAGGATATGGCCTTCGTGGTGGAGGTTGAGGGGAGGCTTGGTGACCGTGTTGTTCCCCCGTCAGTCCCTGCCTCTCTAGGGTGTCACCTTAGAGCAGGAACCGGCCCACGGCCAGCCCTTCCTTCCCCAGCTTCTGCTATAGGAGTGTGAGAGCAGTGCGTGCTGAGCCCCCCAGGCACCGCCAAAGGGCCAGCAGACTTGCACTGACCTCTTCCCCGTCCCGTCTCCGCCCGCACCTGGGGAGACTGGTGCTACGTAGGGCCAGCGCGTGTGGATAAAACCCGGATGAGAGGGGGCGCAGCTTCCTCCGCCCCCCCTCGTTTCCCGCTGCTAAAACCGCGCTGTGCGCACTGCAACGTGCAGTGTCCTGCGGGCGGGGAGGACTGTTAATACCCAGCGTCGGTGCGTCTTGTGTTGCGCTTTTCTCCTGTTCGTGGCAAGAAGCCAATAATAATTCTGTTTCTGATCTGCCCATGCAGTATTTTGTTCTCCCATCAAGTTTTATTATTTTTTCTATTCTTACTACCTCTCCATCAGTGAGATTCCGGTGAAGCTCCCCGCAGCTGTCTCATTCCTTCCCAAGGACAGCAGCATGAAGTGACTCTAAATAGCACTGATCCCTCAGCTACCCTTTGAATTTAGGGTAGACGTTTCCTGTCCCCTTTTTGTCATGGATTAGGATTGCAAACCAGGGTTAACCTTGGCTGTGTTGGGAACATTTTCCTGCTTCTCTCCTGTGTATGCAGAGGTTCCTTAAAGTGGCTCGGGTGTTCTCATTTGTATGAAGCTCCTGAGAGAATGAAAAATAGAAAGCCCAGAACCCTGAGAGATTCTCCACCCTGGCTGTTCTTCAGAATCAAGTTAGAGTTGACAGGACATCTCTGTGCCTGAGTGCAGCCTGAGGTGACTGGCGCCGAGGGGGTGGGGTGGAGCCTGGCCTTGGGGGTTCCGGTGCACCCATCTGGGAGCCGTTAGAGGGAAGGGAGAGGGGAGGTTGCAAAAGCAAGGGCTAGTCTTCATTGACGTAAAGGGGTTGGTTTTCCCAGCGTGTTGTAGAATCTAGTTTTCTCAAGCTGGCATCTCTGACCAAATTCCGTAGAAAGCTTTGGACATTGGAGGGAGAGCTGGGAAAAAAAAAAAAAAAAAGATTTTCAAGACTTTAAGTCCCAAATGATCAAAGCCAAGTGTAATGGCGATTTGCTTTTATCTCCTCTCTTAAAGAGCAACACGAGGGCATCTCTGTCTCTTAACTATGTTTCACAAAACCAAAAACCGTGACTTTCCCACTTCACAAAGCAGGAGCCACCTGGAAGTCCTCAGAACAAGAAGCAGTGGGAATTCTTGGCTCTGGTCCTAGTGGATTTGCGGCTGCAGACTGGACAAGCCTCGTAAAACATGGAAGGCTGTCCGGTGTTTTGAGATTATTGGATGGAAGAGGGCAGCATTCTGCACCCCACTCCCAATTTTTTTAATCTTTGGGGAAGGACGTCATGTCTTTCCCTGCCATTCTGCCTTTCTCCTCAGTAACTCCCACCTTTGCCTGAAGTAATGGCATCTGCTCCTACTTCTCTGGAAAATTTTTTTGCACCATTTACATTAGCAAACCACCGAGTTAGCCTCACGCTTAAGAATATACTCACCGTCTCGAAAACATCATCAGTTCTGGAGTATATCTTGTTTTTGCCTCTTCCTAAAAAAAATGAGTCCAGGATAACAGTATTTTTATGATATGCTTTGTTGTGACTTTTCCCCCCTCAAATAAATAATCAAAATTAACGTTTGGAAAAGTTGTTTTGAGGCCTGCAGTCTTTCCTCTGGGGTCTCGGCCCCCGGTGGTCTCCCTGTTCACACCCCAAATGAGCTGATTTTGCTCCCTTGTCCTCCAACTGGAGAACTCACATGGTTTGGACAAGGAATTCGCTTCATGGTCAAAACTGGAGGGGCCCTAGCGGGGGGTCTGTAAGTAAGGACACCTGCGTTGTGTTGGAGTCCTCTGCCATGGCCACTCCTTCCTTGAGACCATGACCCTGCCTGGAAACCTCTGTATACAGGGTTTCTTAGTACTCTGCTCTTCCTGCTAAAGGGCAAGGTCAAAGAGAAGGGTAAGGGACACTTAGGACTAGATCTGTTAGGCTGTGGCCCTTTTAGACACTGCTGGTTCTAAGTGGCCAAAATACCACATGTGAGTCCTTTTTTTTTTTTTTTTTAGGTTTATTTTTGAGAGAGAGTGGGGCCAGGGCAGAGAGGGGTACAGAGGATCTGAAGTGGGCCCAGAGCTGACAGCAGAGAGTCCCATGTGGGGCTCAAACTCACAAACTATGAGATCATGATCTTAGCCCAAGTCAGACACCTAACCAACTGAGCTTCCCAGGTGTCCCCCCCACCCCCAGATGTGGGCTCTGAGGCTGAGTCCAGCGTATTTACCTTTTCCTTCAGATCACCTTGTAGTCTTTAAACTCTTGGTCCCTGAGGCCAAGTCCACAACTTGCCTTCCAGTCACTTGCCTGCCCTCAGTAGCAGCTGATAGATCTGGAATCCGTCACTGGTCTTTCTGTCCCACGTTGGCTAGGTCCACACAAGTAGCTTAGCCCTGAGGCCTGGAGAATGGCCATCTTTTTTCCTCCTTGATGGAGGAAGTAAAGCTGGGGAACATGATGTCCTTCCACAGCATGGAAATTAAAAATAAAAATCTTTCCAACAGCTTTGGCTTGTGTGTGGTACGAAACATTTTCCTACAGGAATGGTAGTGGTTCTCCATTTTCAGCCAGGAGAACCTCGAAGTGCTTGATCTGGGTCTCCATGATAGAATGGATGGGATAGGCTCCTCCTGGAGTCCTTCATCTATGACCTCTGCAGTGTCAAAACTGGGGCAATAGTACATTCTTTGATTCTCAACCTTCTGCCGGGTCATCTGGAAGGAGGCACTGACAGGTCTCCCGAGATGTGTCCCCATGGGCCCGTAGTGACACCTTGGAAGACTTGTGTAGTGGCTCAGGGATACTTCAGTGGCTTCGCATGTAAGACTAGACAGCTTCTTTATATCTTGACATTTGTGATTCTCCAACGCAATACAAAAGCCATACTTGTCCCAGAATGCAATATGCTTTGCATGTACCAGTTGTTGGTTACATCAACTCAGTAAACACCAGTAGTCCTCTGAGGAAGCAGGACGACGTAAGGAAAATGAGGAGTGGGGCTGGGAGGTCAGGATCAGAAGACTTGAGTTCTAAGAACAGCAATAACCATTTATTGAACTTTTTTAAAAAATTGTTTTTAATGTTTTATTTATTTCTGAGAGAGAAAGACAGCATGAGCAGGGGAGGGTCAGAGAGAGAGGGAGATACAGGATCTGAAGCAGGCTCCAGGCTCTGAGCGGGCTGCCAGCACAGAGCCCGACGCGGGGCTCTAACCCACGGACTGTGAGATCATGACTTGAAGCGAAGTCGGACGCCCAACCGACTGAGCCACCCAGGTGCCCCCATTTATTGAACATTTATCAGCACTTTGCTCAGTGCTTTCCATATATGGTCTTCATTCTAAGGATAAGACTGCCCATCATTAGCCTCATTTTACAGATGAGGAAACTGGCTCAGCAAGGATTAATTGCTTAACCAAAATGTCTCAGCTACTAAATAGAAGAGCCAGGATCCTTTTGGAGTTGCCTCTAATTGTGTCTTCAACGCCCCACTCCATATGGCCTCCCCCATACTGGCAGCTGTGTGGCTTTGGGCCACACACCTCATCCGACGGGTTCTGTTTGCTGTTGTAAAGAAATCGTTGGGCTAGACTGAATCAAAGGACAAAGACAGCGTTCCCCACATTTTTTGACATCACAGCCCTGCCACAGATAAGACTATGGTCCACTGAAATGGAGGCAGAAACCTTCCAGGGCCTGGCTGGGGAAGGGGACTGAAGGATGGAGAAGAGCTTTCTTGGTACTCTTCACAGTCCCGGATAGAGAGTAAACTGCAGGCCCTGACCTGGACCGCTGCTACCCAACACACCAACCGCCCCTTGCCCACCGCCCCCGCAAGTGGGCGTGGGTTTTCCAGCTTCTCTCATTAGCGACACTAAGGGCACTTGCTGAGAAGTGGTTACCTTACACCGGGAAGTTGAAAAATTGGGCACCTGTGACATACCAGTTTAATAAAATCTCTTAGGGCAACTGCATCTGCATGAACCAAAAGAAGTTACCTTGTGATGGACTGAATACTTTTAATAGAATAGCAAAAACGTTACCTGGGTGTGCAAAAATACCCTAAACTGGGCTAGAGATTATGCACCTTCCCGCCTGGACTTGAGAGTTCACGGTAAGGATGCAGAGTTGGCCCTCTATGGTAGGTGTGCATGGAGCATTTGAGATCCCGACCGAGGTCCTCAGTCTCCCCTTTCAGCGACTTAAGGCCTTGCATACGATCTAAATGCACAAGAAATTTCGTATGGGACCTGAAATTGACAGCTAATTCATTTTCACTCAGGGCGTCAGGAAGGGACCGCGCGGGTTCGGGCCTATGGCCACCATTTGGAACGCTCTAAGTCCGGGAAAGAGCCGGCGCAATCGTGGGCCGCTACGTGTGCCCAGAGCTGAGGAAGCCAACGCACAGGGGATTCACCGCAACCAGCCCCCAGACTACAGACTCCGGCGGCGGGAACCTCGCCCGCCGCTCCGCCCCTTCCCGCTCGGACTTGGCCCACCTTGGGCTCAGAGCCAATAGGAAATCGAGAAATGTATGACTCATCATGTCTAACCAATCAGCTCGACGCTCGCTCTCCGCCAGCATCTCGCGCGACAACCAGGCGGCCTCGGACCTCACAACAAAAACCTTCCTTGGGCAGGAAGACTTCTCTCCCCGCCTCCCAAGCTAACACCGGAAACGAGGTGTGTCTGAAGAATCCTTCCGCGCCCTCCGGCAGCGGAGGGGAGAGTGACTCTTTGATCTTAGTTGCCGTGTAAAGTAGTGCGCCCTTTCCCTTTCTGGAGACCTTGACAATAATTCGTTTTCTCTTCCCAGCTACGCCCTGGACATAAAAGTCATGGGTTGGATGCAGTAGGGGCGTCGTGTAAGCGAGAATAAGTGGGTGGGAGGCACGGGTCACGTGACCGCGGCGGAAGGATATGCTCTGTGATGCGTCCTCATAGAGGCAAAGTCTATAAAGGAACCACGGCCGGGGTGCCGCGGCCATTTCTCTCCCTGTCGCTTATAAATGTAGATCGTCTTCGTGTGTGCGCGTCCTCCCTACTCCACTACCGCAGGGTCCGCGGCCGCCATGGCGTATTAGAGGCAGCAGTGCCTGCGGCAGCATTGGCCTTTGCAGCGGCGGCAGCAGCACCAGGCTCTGCAGCGGCACCCCCCAGCGGCTTAAGCCATGGCGTAAGTACCGGGGCCCGGCCGCCCCTGCCGTGCTCCCCCAGGTCGGCGAGGGCATTCGGCTCGCTTGGGCGCGGCCTGCGGCCGGGCGGCGTCGCGGAGGGGGAAGCGGTTTTACGAGCGCCCGGGACGCGTGACCCCTGTTTGGGTGTCCTGGAGACGCCGACGCTTCTGGATCGGGGCGGGGGCGCGGTCCGGCGCAGGGGGGTAGAAGCCCTCAGCGACCCTGACCTCCGATCCCGGGGGCTTCCCGCCCGGCGCCGTCCCACCCGGCGCCCAGCGAAACGTGGCAGAGGCCAAGATGGCGGCTGGGCAGGGCGAGGGCGCGGTGTGAGTCAAGGGCGGGCGTGGGCGGGGCCGGCGGCCCGGGCCGTATTTGGACATGAGGATGGCGCGCCGTCCTCTGGCGGCGGGTGGAGGGACGGCCCAGCCCCAAGGGCGTCCATCTTGTGCGGTTTGACCAGACGGCGGGGAGGGAGGGTCACGATGCCTCCGGGGCCACGTGTTCCCGGTTCTCTGCTCCCAAGTGGAATTCTAGTTTGGCCAGCCTCCCCCCAGGATGAAGAGATGAAATTCTGGGACCGGCTGGTCTCCAATGGGACTTGTTTTCTGGTGTCTTTTCAGGCTTTTCACGGCATCCAGCAGCAGCGTTGCTGTAACCGACAAAGACCTCTTCGAATTAAGCACATTCCTCGATTCCAGTAAAGTCCCACGACATGGCCGAGATGATGAGCTTCCTGAGCAGCGAGGTGTTGGAGGGGGACTTGATGTCCCCCTTCGACCAGTCGGGTTTGGGGGCTGAAGTAAGCCTAGGGCTCTTAGACGATTACCTGGAGGTGGCCAAGCACTTCAAACCCCATGGGTTCTCCAGCGACAAGGCTAAGGCGGGCTCCTCCGAATGGCTGGCTGTGGATGGGTTGGTCGGTGCCTCAGACAACGGCAAGGGTGAGTGGGAGTCCTTGCCCCTTCCCCCCTCCCCCCCACCATCGGCCTTGCTCCCTTGTGTGTCTGACTCTCTTCGGTCTTTTGCAGAGGATGCCTTCTCCGGGACAGATTGGATGGTGGAGAAAATGGACCTGAAGGAGTTTGATTTTGATTCTCTGTTCAGTATAGATGACCTGGAAACCATGCCAGATGAGCTTTTGGCCACTTTGGATGACACATGTGATCTCTTTGACCCCCTAGTCCAGGAGACTGATAAGGAGCCCCCCCAGACCGTGAACCCGATTGGCCATCTCCCAGAAAGTTTACCCAAAACAGACCAGGTTGCCCCTTTTACCTTCCTGCAATCTCTTCCTCTCTCCCCCGGGGCCTTGTCCTCCACTCCAGATCATTCCTTTAGTTTAGAGTTGGGCAGTGAGGTGGATATCTCGGAAGGAGATAGAAAGCCAGACTCGACTGCTTATA